AGGGCCGTCCCCCCAAAAAAGCCAGCCGTCCCCACCACCCCCCAGCCAGTGATGGGACCCAACCTCAGAGCAGTAGCCCCAGGAAGCAAGAGGAGGGCCAGGCCAGGCAGGTCAGAGAGGGTGGGGGGGCCATGTGGCACAGTGTGGCACAGCATGGAACACGGGGCATGCAGGACCAACCCCACACTGAAGGCACGTGCTCACTTTCTCCCAGCTGCCTCTGGAGCACCTGCAGTTCCTGCTGCGCCTCGGCCAGGGAGCAGACGGGCTTCCCACAGCAGCCCAGGAGCTGGGGAGCTGCGGGAGGGGGAGGCCCAGCAGGCAGAAAGGGGGGTAGCCCAGAAGCTAGCGCAGGCAGGGGGGCACTAACGGGTTTCGATAAGGAGTCAAAGTGAAGGCCTAGAGACAGAAGAGAGACAAAAAGAGGTGTTAGCGCAGCTCTGGCTCAGCCCAGCAGGGACTCCTCCTCCCCAGGGCTGCTGAGGACCCTGGCACGCTCCAAGTAGAGTCCCCATGTCCCCATGTAGGACAGCCCATGTGAGGCTGGTCAGGTCTCAGCGCTACAGAGGGGTTGTACATCCCCAGCATGCTGTTGTGGCCCCTGGACACCACCTGGTACCTGTTAGTCGGGGAGGCTCCTCACGGCACTGGCTGCATTCGCTGGCTGCATCTCCATCAGAGCAGGGTTCCAGCCCCTCGGACACGAAGGAGGAGCTGGTTGCAGAGTGGGATGACTCGGAGGGCGGGCGGCTGCTACCTGGGGACTCGCAGCGTTCCTGCAGCTTTGCCTCCAGACTCTCAATCACCTTCTCCTTCTCCTGAAGTTCCCGGCTGAGCCTACGGAGGTGGCACATTACCGGGGTTGTCAGGGCAGGGTGACCCCCATCCCGCAGCCCTTCCCCGCCATGCTGTGTGCACTCCAGTGTGACACCCCCCATACCGAGTCCCCGTGCACTGTAAGGCTGCCCAGAGCTGTAGGATGCCCAGCCCAGGCCTGGTGGTCCCCATTCCCAGAGCAGAGACAGCCCCAGGACATCCACCTGGAGCAGAGAACCCCAAGGGTACCCCAGACCCCCACTCCAAGAGCAGTGATAGCAGTAGAGCAGTCCTCCCTGGCACCAGGTACCTTAGTGCCAGGAGTTCATGGCTGGTTTTATCCTCCCCATCTTGCTGATCTCCTGAAAAAGCAAGCCAGAGAGTCAGTGTGTCCATGTCCCAGGGTGCCTGTCCCCAAACAGAGCCACAGCAGAACAGACAAGGCAACTCAGCTTGAAGCAGGTAGCCTGCACGGCACAAGGTGTCCACCCCTTCACAGCACCCATCAAAGCATCCCTTCAGGCCCACCATGCCCCACAATGTCCAGCCCCAGTGACCCCTCCTAAAAGTACTTACTGGTGCCCAGCTTGTCACTGAGCCTATCGGCCAGCTGCCTGCCCTGGGCCAGCTGCTCTCGAAAGCCTTGGCCCAGGTAGTAGTCGATGTCGGTGCCACGGAGGAGGTCCTCGAAGGACCGCAGGGCATCGCGCAGGTGCTGTGCCAGGCTGCGGCTCACCCCACGGCCCTCCCGCAGCATCTGCCGCAGGTGGGGGAGCTCCCGAGCCTGCGCTTGGATCAACGAGTCGGACTTCCCAGGAAGGA